ACTTCTTGCCTGGCTGCTAAGAGGTGGATGTCTCCCCCCCTTCCTGACGCCCCCTGTTAGCTTTTCCCCCATGTTCAGTGGGGCTGGCCCACAGCATGCGTTTTTCGCTTTGGGGAGGGAACACCCAAAAGGCAGGGGCAGGTAGAGGCACGTGATTTCAGTGGGCTTGCTCCCCGGGCCATGCCAAACTAACGGTTGTGTCTGACGTACCACGACCCTTGGTGTAGGTGCAGAGTGACCTGGGAAGAGGAAGCACCCAAACCCCCCCCCAAAAATCGTTGACGGCGGGTTGTCGGGGAGACCGACCCTGGGAACCGGGGGCATGGCCTCCGGCTGCGACTTGTGCTGCCCAACCCCTTCCCCTTGCTGCACGTCTGCCGCTCCTGAAAAAATTGCCCCCTCTGCCCTCCCCTGCGTGTTGTTGACATTTTCTTAATTTAACGTTCTGTGTCCCCCTAACAATTTTGTGCCCTGGTAACAATTCTGTGTTGTCCCCGGTAAAATTTGTGTCCCCCAGTAACATTCTGTGTTGTCCCGAGTAACATTCTGTTTGTTTCCCTCAGTAACAAAATTCGTGTCCCTCAGTAACAAATTTTTTTGGGGCTGTCCCTGAGAACAAAATTCTGTGCCCCGAGTAACAGTTCGTGTCCCTGAGTAAAAGTTTTTGTGTTCTGGTAAAAAAATTATGTGTCCCTGAGTAACAATTTATGTTGGTCCCTCTTGGTAACAATTCTGTGTTCCCTCAGTTAACAATTATGTTGTCCCTTCAAAAGTTTAAAAAAAAACCATTCTGTGTCTGTACCTGAGTACACAATTCTCGGGTCTCCTGAAGGAACTGTTTCTGTGTCCCTGATGTTAACAATTCTGTTGTCCCCTGGAGTTTAACATTTCTTGTGTCACTATGTTAAGCGATTCTGTGGCTCCTTAAAGTATCTTTGGCCACTAAACTCAGTCCCTAATACAGAGAGGTCTGTCTCTCTGAATGACCGGAGGCTAATGAGAATCTAAGATGGGCCGCAATTTATAGCTCGACCAACTACATCAGTGGCGGCTGCTGCTGCCTGATTGGCTAATGCGATCACATGTCATGAATGAATGCATTATGGTCAGCGCGCCTTGTCTGCGCGCCTTCCCAGAGATCCCCGCACCGTCGTCCAGAACACATGTCGCCGCCATTTTTTAGGAAAGTTCGATTCGCGCATCCCAAAGTCTGCTAATTATCGAAATTTTTCCAAAATCTTTGAAACTAATTCCACTTCGCCAAGTTCCGATTCGCTCTCCTAAATATTACATAAAACATTAATTGATAAACATATGAATTCTGGTTTGCACATTTTTTTTTCTCCATTTGTTCTTAATTTTTATTAATGTGAAACAGCACACTTTTTTATGTGTTGCAGTTATTCATTCTGGTATTCTGGTAGGGTAGAGTAGCAGTTTATTTTACATTTATTGATTTGGTTTTCATCACATGTAGATGATTGGGCTTAGCCGCAGGATTTGCCTCTCTTTTTTCTCATTGGTTTGAGTAATGAATGGTTTCCTGACATGTGACAACATTGTCCTGATTCTTGCTTGACGCTCCAGTTTATGGGGCAGTATATCATTTCTGGCATTTCCTTAATTGTTAACAAAGTGCACAAACCTGTCCTAATAACCCACATATTTGCAGAACCTGAATCTATCACCAAAGCCAGGTACCCATTGTTCTATATATGCTTATTAAGCATTCAATTGTTATGCAAGGCTATTTATATGTTTGGATTGGTTTTTTGCAAATTCAGAGCAGCCATTACTTTGGTATATTCAATACCTCTGAGCGGTTTTTTTATGAACCCAACCTAGGTTTTTGTTATTAAAGCTGGTTTAAATTCATGGATTGATTGATCCATTGATTTTAGGCTTTGTAGGTATATAGGCCTCTTTTCCTGTTTTTCAAATAGTCTCTTCCAGACCACATGTCAGAATATAATGCATATAATAATGGGGAAGGAAAAATTGCAATTTGTAATATTTTATATAGCCTCCCATGTATAGCCATCTGGTCTGGGGCTTTTCTTTTTATTTGGAAGTTGCTGAATAATCCTTTTAATTTCTTCCATGATATGGGACTATTGTGGACTGACTACAGTTTCTTAGGATATTGAGTTTGGAGATAGGACTTGCCACCAAAAATATTTTTCCCACCATTGCATCCCATCTTTTGCTTGAAGATAGATCTCAATTAAATTGTCTTAATATAGAGTTTATCTGTTTAGGATGGTAGGCTGTTTGTTAGTATCCCTTATAAGCATTGTGGTTTGTAGTAAATAGATTTCCCCTAGTTAGATTTGCTAATTAAACTTTCCTGCTTTATCCCATATTTTATTGAATATTAATCAGTTATAGGCTTCAAAATTTAACTCAATTGTGTTGCTTGAATATTCATATTGTGTGTTTTGCCTTTAGCATCCTTCACTAGACTGTTTCATGGAGAGTATGATGAGAGAGTATGAGATGATTGGAATTTGAGCATCTACATAAGTAAAACTGCTTGCTTCATTTTACTGGGCTCTAACTGTTTTCTGTTTAAGCTGTAACTTAGGTTATAATCGTTGCCTCTCATGTAAGCTTTACCTGTTTCCAGGAATAACTTCATATTGGTTCTATGCTCCTGCATTTATTTGCTTTATATTCCTCCATGGCCTCCCTCAAAGGATGTCGAAAATGTTTATCCTGAGGACTAATGGGCATGATGAAACTCCACAAGCATATGGCATCTCCTTTTGGTATATGATTTGTATTTTACCACTACTGGCCATTGATTAGGATATAGCTGTATAAGATGTATATATAGATGTGTTCCACATCCACTATATGATGGCTTAGGCAGGGTTACAAAATATTTCAATCTATCCTTGTAAAAGTTTGATGAGAGTGAGAAAAAATGTCTGTACATATTCTCTCGTTGGATTCCTCATTCTCCTATATATCATACAATATCTAGTCTCTCTGTCATATTCTTGTAATAAAGTAGGCTTTAAAGATCTTCATTTCTAAGGTTTGCCCACATACTTTGTCCTTAACTGGTTTCCCTATCTTCATCCTTAGCTTAATCAAAGTTGAAGTCTCCTGCTAAGATTATATCTTTAATTTCATCTTGCACCATCATGAAGTTGATTTTATGGAAAAAAAGTTTGGGAAGCAGAGTTCGGAATAACATAAAAATTTATACTACATATAGCGCTTTTACCAGAAAATATGTAAACTAATATTGAAGCTTTCTTCCTTCATCATTCCATATCCTTTTTGGAAAAGTATAACAGTTGTAAATTTAATGATTTATTTAAGATAATTATAAACTCCTTGTCGTCTACCACTTAGAGGGTACTTTGTCATATCTAACCATATATTTTCTGCATCCTATGCAAATCTGTAAATCGGCAGATGTGTCTCTCTGTAACAAGACCACATCCGCCTTTAAACATTTCAAAATGTCTTCAGTACCTTATTGCGCTACGAGAGGGACCACAAACAAAATTCACATGTCCAGGAATTCACCTTCATGTAGACCCTGGCTCCCAAACATTTAAAGATTCAATACAATGTAGTGTTCCATCTATCTAAGTATCGGAAAATCTTCATTCTTTTATTGTATAAAAGTGATCCAATGTTTTTAGAGTGTTATGATGCATGCAAGTTAAGGCCATGAGTGTATGACGTCACCACAACTTTGAACTCATTATGGAAAACACAAAGGACAAAAAAAAAAAATTTTCTCGAAGGAACAAAAAACCCCAGAAAAATCAACAGCTTTCTTGGTGTTGACTTCCTTTTTTCCTGTTGTTGGTGACCACCGAATTTTACCTATTGCTCCTAAATTGACCCGTACTTTTTGCCTGCACTCGGTTTATTGTGGCAGTATACCATTCTTGCATTTTCAAGCTGTACGGTGGGTTATTTTGTAGTGTCTTTCATTGGATATCTTTGAGATCCAAATTCACAAGAGGTTCTGAGTTACATTCTATCTTTCTGTTAGTAAGAATGCTGGGAACATACTTTGCCATTTGTGAGGGACCTTGGTATACAATGATAGGTTCGACCTTTGTGCTGTATACCAAGGATCAAAATCCATCCAACCAATCGCTGTGCCTTTGGTAGTCAATCCGCATCTTTGCCAAATAACGATCTGGTTGTGTTTGCAAATTTCAATCTTGATCAATATTACTATAGGATCAACTATGGATTCCAATATGGATGCCTATTAAAGAAAAATAGTTTTGAATTGTTATATTATCAATTAATTATTTAGATTGTGTAGCTATGCTAAATATCAACTGATTAACCAATTATTATGGTATTCGGCTATAATTGGTGGAACCAATAAAATACTGTGTAGTACTTGTGATATGTACATCTGGATGTTGAATGAGAGGAACATCACATGTTAAATCATATAGTAACATTTTTCTTATGTTACTAATTATAAAAATCTTCTTCAATCATTTTTACCTTGCATCATTCTCAGTTGAGGGACTAGGATGACAAGCACGAAATCGTTAATAGGAAACCCAATTGTCGAACATCACCATTTTGACAATTCCTTATTTTGTATACTATGGGTGAAACCTTTGTCAATAATAGTATAGGGACCTTTCCTATGAAGGAGATATGTATTTTATTTTATTCTATCTTGAGCAACGTTGTATAAAATACACTTTATCATTTACTTCATACTCCTCTTGTTAGTTTTGAGATCATAATAAAGTGTTGATGCTTTAATAGCGTTTTCTCGAGATTCTTCGTGAAAGGCAAAAGCATGTGAAGGTGCTGTTGAAGGTTTTCTACATATTGATGTGTCGTGGCTTGCATTAATCAGGTATGATTAGTATGAGGCGACATTTATTCAAAAATTCGATTTCGGCTGATTCGGCGAATTCGCGGAATAAATTAGATTCGAGTCGATATATTCGCTGCAGAATTTAACTATAAAAAGGGTGTTTCTAGGCTTCTGAGAGCATTTATATTAGGGCAGAACACTGGACTTTAATGTAAAAAGGCCCTTGGGAGTCTGATGGGGAAGAGAAATAATACTGTCAGTCAGTATGACATGCAGATGAGATGCCGTCGATCTTAGAATCACCGAACACTTTCACTCTATTTGAGGCAGTCACGAGGGCCAAAAAACCAGAGTGTGGAGCCAAAGTTTGTGTCGGTGGAGGCTGCTGCAATGGTGGGCCATAAGCACCTATGAAACAAATGGGAACCCACCAGGCAGTGTGAGGAGACTGTGAAAGTGGACATGGCAGAGTGGTGGAGGAGAACCCTGGAAAAGTGGGCAAAACATGGCAAGAGTCGTGGGCGATTGGACGACAGCACGCAATGGGGAGGCGGCCGTAACAGGGACCCAAAGACAACACTCCCCTGGGGAACCTGGCCAGCAGCATTGAATGGAGAGAAAAAAGGCCGGTACAGGCGGGGCCCCCCATGGGCAACAGAATTTAAACAAGGCGGCCCCCCCTGAGCCAAGCCCAAAGCATGGCAGGGAAAAAAGGGCGGATTTAAAAAAACGGGGTCCCCCATGACACAACTAAATGGAAACCCTGGGCAAAAGCCCAAGCCATTGATGAGAGCCCGGGTAAAAAAACAAAAGGGGCCCATGGCAGATTATGGGCCTGGCAGCAGCTATGGGAGCCCGTAATCATGCCAGCACCCTATGACAAAAAATGGAACACACCAGCAGGTGTGAGGAACCTAAAGTTGCACATGGCAGAGTGACCGCGATGAGAGACAGCAGCGATGAGGAGGGCGGGTTCAGGGGCCCATGAAAGATTACGGGCCTGGTCAGCAGCATGAGGAGTCGGTTACGGGGGCCCATGGCAGTTTACGGGCATGGAGCACAATGGGTGGCCGTAATCTGCCAGCACCCTATGACAAAATGGAAACCCACCAGCAGTGTGAGGAGACCTGAAAGTGGCACATGGCAAAAGTGTGGCGATGGAGACAGCAGCAATGGGAGGCCGTACAGGGACCCATGACACACTCTGGACCCTGGCAGCAGCATGAGGAGGCGGTACAGGGGCCCATGGGCAGATTATGGGCCTGGCAGCAGCATGAGGAGGGCGTACGGGGCCCAGGCAGATTACGGCCTGGCAGCGCAATGGGAGGGCCCTACAGGGGCCCATACACACTCTGGACCTGGGAGCGCATAGGAGGCGGTTTAAAGGGCCCCCGACAGATTACGGGGCCTGGGAGCACATGAGGGGGTCGGACGGGGGCCCCTGGCAGATTACGGGCCCCGGCAGCAGAATGGGAGGCCCGAATCTGCCGCACCCTTTTGACAAAATGGAACCCACCACATGTGAGGAACCTGAAAGTGGCACATGGGAGAGTGTGGCCCATGGAGACAGCAGCAATGGGAGGCCGTACAGGGGACCCCTACACACTCTGGACCTGGCAGCAGCATGGGGGGGGGAGGGGTAAGGGGGCCCCTGACAGATTCGGGCCTGGCAGCGCATGAGGAAATCGGTACGGGGGGGGGCCCCTGGCAGATTTCGGGCCTGGCACACAATGGGGGGCCCATTTCCCGCACCCATGCAAAATGGAACCCACCACAGTGTGAGGAACCTGAAAGTGGCACATGGCAGAGTGTGGGATGG